AGCAAAACAAGTATTCCTCTATAGTATATTTCCTCGTAGTTATTTAGTATTTTCTATTGTAGATAAATGGAATTTAGCTATGCAATTGTATCATTATTATTTTGTGAAGATAATTTGTACAGTACAAATTATTTACTGATGTAAACGCGATAAGTATTGGAATCACTATCGTATACGACATTACAATACTAACTGCTATTCCAATTACTACTAATTAAATTACAAGGAATCAACGGTAACATTTGCACCTACATATACCGACATCATATCCATATCCAGTATCCTGTGGGTACAAAGGTTGATTTTGATGTCAGAAAGGCCGGTAGATTTCGGATTCCAAATGGTGTTAATGCAAATACAAAGTCTGTTTATTTAACAGTTTAATCAATTTTTATGAAATTTGTAATATGGCTAGCGTTTAAGTTGAAATAACTGAAGCTACTCCTTTCCATAAATAATATTTGCTCATATTTTTCTCAGATACAGAACCTTCCAAATTTTATCAGGTCAATCATTTCTCAACTATTCGGGCTGAAAGCGCTCCCAGTTGTCGAAAAGTGATGTATTGGGCCTCACTCTTTGACCGTGCAAAGACCGTGATCAAAGATAGAAGAAAACAGTTTGCTCCCTACACAATTCAAAATATACCTTCCGTTTAATATTCTATGACAAACTGACAAAGGTAAAGAGCCAGACTCGATCGATGAAGATAAATCAATGAATAGACAGAAGTTACAAGGTTATTTACTTATTCAGAATTTTGTTGTTTTGTAATATGTTAATTTTAGGCAATGAATTTGACGACAAACCTGTAGATATAATTGCTGTAATTAGTGAAAACAGAATATTTCAGCTGGATGAACACATTGTTTCGAATGGCTAAATAAACTCGACTAATGCGACCTTGGGCTCGTCATGCAGCATTGTTAATATGACAACATTGTATTCAATAAAGTTCAATAGACATACGTACAAAGTGGGGACATATTATGATTATGATAGACTCGTTTATCAATGCATTGGTAACCCATCATTTTAGTAACTAGTAAATGCGAGGTGGGGATAGCTAGAAAACTTCCAGAAATGTGTAACTTTAGTCAATGTCTAAATACATGGAGTAAGAATGTTCTTACCCAATTCTGAATTAATAGAAGTTTCAAATCTAACTTTAGGTTGCTTCCAAATTACAGGAAATACACTTCAGCATCGATAAACGAATTAAAATTTAAGAATTGGTATGCCTCTTGTAAAAGCCATATTTAAAAAGTACCCTAACTATAGCCATTAAATAAAATTGAAAAAAGTCGACAGTGTTTTCGCTAAGCTGTTAGAGTAGTACAGAAACTCGGTAGAGGTCATGAATTTGGTTTCCTACTAGGCCAATTATAATTCATCGTGGTTGAAACTAGTATTAAATTATTAGATTTTGACTACGAGTATACTTCAACCGAGTAGTTAGGTTAGGGATGACAAAAATATTTATTAATAAAAGATATGAAAGTGAATAGACATGCTCTTATATACGAAACTCACATGTCTGAAGTGGAGAATCTCCCACGGACCATTTTGACAAACAAACACAAGGTAACTTGTTCAGATTAAAATACACTATATAGTTAATTCTCCACTACTAGCGATATCACAGTTGTCATGTTACTGCTATATTGTATTTAGATAAAATAAAGTTGTTTGTTAAGGCTTCAATAAAATTTATCAGCGTTTTACAGAGCGTGCCTCAAATCCTAGTGCAAACTTGGCAATGTTGCGGACAAATTACGTTTCATTTTGTTCATAGCATCGGAAATTTATTAATAGAATCCAATATCCGCCAAACATCCCGGTGCTTCTGGGTGAACAACCACGGGTACGTAAACGTTGGTCAGCAGAATTCCTCGCACTGGGGAGATGAGATTCTCTCTTAAAAACACCGAGTTGCAACGACTCGGTTTCGTTCGATAGCGTTCGCGTTTTAATTTCGTTGTTTGGCCGCGCTCATGTCGGGAACTGCGTGCGTCTCCCGCCGCGTGCGCGGACTGCGCGGGGCGTCGCGTCGCGCGTCGTACGTCCGCGTCGTTTAGTTCGGCCCGTTTTGGCGCGCGCGGGCGTGTTCACGTCACCGAAGCCAAGTACAAAGTGATAACAAAAACTATACAATTGATACTACTCTACATCTACGCATCTCTGCCTACGCGACGGAAGTGTCACCGTTTGCCCGCATTATATCCGTGATTTTTGTTTTGCCTCTAATCCATTGGAATCATGCCAACAGCGACGTCTGTTGCAGTTACGTTACTACTACCTATCGCTTTTGATGAGAAACAAACTTCTGTCCTGTCGCAAGGTCGAATGAGTCTTGTGATATAAAAAATAGTGGCGCAATGGCGGATATTTTTCTTACTAGACAACAGGAAAGACACTCAAAATGCTTTATCTGTCAGTCCTGAAATTGGTAAATGCATGCGTAGATGCAGTAAAAAGTTCATTGCTCATTACTGCAGAGCACAAAGTCAAGGTTCTAAAGCTATTTCTGGACAGGGGAGCATGCCAACGATGACGACCGGTGACGAGGCATGGGCACAGCCATTGATTGACGAGATTACATCATTTAATATTTAGATGTCTGAAAATAACCCAGCAAATTGATGTTATGGAGATTTACCTTATTTATCACATTTAGATGCATCATACTTATTTAATGCTAACAACCCACATCACAACTTTACATAGGTATATCACATCACACATTATTGTATGGATCTCTTTAAATTAAACGGCTAATTTTGCTCCATGATTTTTTTTTGTGTGTGATAATGGAATGGTACACTCGCCTGCGCTGATGGTTTACGCTGGAGGGCCACCAGTGGAGGATGATAGGATGAGCATGAGGTCAGGTCAGTTAGCCCATGGTAACAAAATCACCAAGAATTTATCATGATGGTTTCCATGGGGAACCGCGAGGAGATCGACCTAACATGGTACATTGCTGGCAATGGGAGTTACTAGTTCCCATTACTAATAATCTCCTTCCCCCATATAGGACCGTAGGGGGAAAGGAGATTGTAAGTAATAGGGACTAGAACCCCATTGCTAGCAATGTATGGTACATTGTCAGGTCGACCTCTACACAGTACGCACTGGAAACCGAGTGATATCATCCGTACCAATGATTTCATCAATATGGGCTAACTGACCTGTCATCATGTTCATACTATCATCCTCCACTGGTGCCTCGCCCGCACATACATTAAGCACAGGCAAGTGCACCATTATATTGGCATCCATTAAAAAAGTATAGGACTGCATAGGAGGATTTCTTTCTATTACAAATAACAAATCAAATCCAACTTAGATACTGGTATAACGACATTCCAATTAAAATGTTTGTAATTTGTCTCTATATCCAGACATTTTTGCTTTAGATTCTCGGGTTATTGTTCAATCATTCAAACTCTGGAAAACTACTGACATCTGACGCAACAAATTCGATTGATCGCTATCTTATTCATAGCTCAACTCATATGTTGGAAGAGACAACAAAGGCATCGGTTTAAAGTTGACTAAATTTATTACTAGCCGCCGCACAAATATGTCTTGTAAGTCCGCCTTTGTCATTTACATACGTTTTATTTTCAATATTCAATGTAAGTTTGAGAATTCTTCCTAAAGATGAATTATCCTACCTTACCCCTTTCAGATATAGACAAGAAAAAATATACAGAAGTTTGTGCCTTTTTTATGACTATATAAAATATATAGAGTTAATGAACAAGTACTTTCCTACAAATGTATCCCCCACTGGGGCCGGGGTGGTTGCCTTGAGGGAGGCAGCCCCCCAATCCAATGGCCCTGGAGATGTGCGCGTGTACCCACACGCCTCCACAATGGAGTAGGGCGAAATAAGTCGCCCTAACCGTAAACGAGATGGGGGCTGCCCTAGAACATCTACATGGCGGGCCGTCGCCGTCGGAGCTGGGGTCAAAATGCACATGCGAATCCCCTGGCTCCGGCATAGGCGCTCGTAGGTACACCGTGTGGTTTTTGGTGAGTACAAATCTCACAATCCGCCCCGCCCTCCCTCTGGCGAGGTGACGGTATTTGAAGATTTTCCACACGTTAAAAAAAATGGATATGTATAAATGCAAAGCACATTAAGTCATACGAATAGTACAGTCACGTGATCATTTTGATATGTTATAAATCCTGGATATGTAATGGTCATGTTGTGGTCACATCGCTTTTCTTCCGACGGTAGCGGGTTCGAATCCTCGCACGATGCAATCATTTGCATTGGTCTGGGTGTTTTCATTATGTTTGTAGTGTGTACTTATGCAAGTAACATACGTATTTAAGTATTTGAATCTGTTATCAAGTACTTATTACACAAGCTCTGCTTAGATTGGGACTAGATGGCGCTGTGTGTATTGTCCTGGATTATTGCCGTCGCCTAAATACAAGTACATGAACATCACTACGCCATCACGTTATCACGTGACACCTGTGCTACCAGTCATACGTTGTTACTCTAGAAGACTAAGATACCATGCCTCTTATCTTGTAATTTTAATTCCTAGTTTCACCCAACAACCGAAACAGATTACAAAGCAAATTGCCTGACAGCAGAAATAGGTGAGGTTGAAGTACCAGTGTAGACAACTAACTTTCTTGGTAATTATACCTCGGGCATTATTAGATCATCATCTGCTTCTTCCTTATCCCATTTATTTGTGGTCGTCGTAATATGTTTTTCTCTTCCATTCATCCCTGTTCGCAGTCATCTCGTTATTTACTTCCTTTCTTACCATATCATCTTTCACACAGTCCATCCATCTCTTTTTCGGCCTTCCTCTGCCCTTATAACCATCCACATTCATATGTAACACCTTCCTTAAAATATTATCTTCATTCCTACGCATTACATGCCCATACCATGATAGATGATTACCCTTCAACTTACTCGGGCAGTATTAGATATGATTTATAAATGATTGAAAATGACTTACCTATTGTGAAGGTCGACAGGCTTAGCCATAGTGAACTCTTTTGCGTGGACATTGAGTTTGTTTGTGGTTGTCGCCGTGGTGGGTGTGGTAGCCGCCGTCCCCGCCGTGGTCACCACGCCGTCTGTTCGGACACCTGGTGGTCAACGGTGGTCGTCAAGAGAAGAGGAGATAGGAAAGAGCGAAGAATGTTAGTTTGAACGGAAAGGGTGAAATTGGTACTGAATATCCGGTATACAATGGCAGTGCTTGGTTGATAATTTAACAGCTCCGGTTTTTTTCACACGAAAATATCTATACTAATGTCTTAATGGTAATGTAATCTAGTCTAGACATTATATTACAGTTTAGTTAAGTTCTCAGCACTAAGGCCGCCTTATTGTAATTATTTGTGTTCTTTAATATATTGTTTATGTAAATTACAAATAACGTTTATTCTATCTTAAGTGTTTTTAAAACTAATTGACTATGTCTCTGATTACCCTGAGTGATAGCAGTCATGGCGATATGAATGTGCTTACATTTTAGTAGATTACTTAAACTACTTTCTAAAAACATTAAATCACGTGACACCAACTAAGTAAGCCCTTTGAACTATAGTCTATAAATTTAAAAGACATATCTATTTCATGCATCTCTTTGATGACTCATTTCACATCTAAACTGATTTTATTTGTGAAAACATATTCGAAGAATAAATTGCAATCTTGAACTATTTCTAAATATGATTGTATATATAGCTTTGGTTTTTCTAAAATAAATAAATAAACTAGGCCTTCTCTCTCCACTGTACTGGCTAATCCCAGTGTGGCGTTTTATATAAACTGCACGTAAACTTTCGAAGTAATAACCAATATATAAAAACATCAAGTAATCCTTAAAAACCAATATGATTATAAACAAAAAGAATTATACAAAGAAATCCGTTCAGTTTTGACGAACATTCCACATCATTCACAAAAGTGAACAGATTAATAAAAAATTGCTCATCTTTTTTTAATTCGGTTGAAAATTATTGTGACTGATTCCAGTATGCTACATATCTAGTTTTTAGTAAGTCATTCGATTTATCATCACTTCGTAAAGAGAACAATCGCGTGCCGTTGTGATGTTGAAAAACTTTCTTAGCATAATGTGAGCAGAATTATTGAGTCTTTATTTTGTGATAATTAGTAGGAATCCACGACGTCTGTAGATCACATATAATTAACTATTGCATTAGAAAGAGCGTGTGTGTTGCCTGAAATAGAACAATATATTTCGACTCTATTTTTTTTTTTTAATATTTTATTCGACTCAGGACAGCTCACACAGCGCCATCTATTCTCAAACCTGTGCCAAACTAAAGATATCAAAGATTCATAGTAACCGTGGATACTATACAACTTTTTTTTGTAAATATATTCATCATAGTACTTAACATTTTTTTGTAAATTTATACATCAATACATTTCTATTTTACGAGGATGGAACCCGCGACTATCGGCAGTGTAAGGTAGAATGATAATCTGCTATATCATGAAGGCCGTCTAATAATAATTAAAGATAGTAAACACTGACTGAATATTATTGCCATAACAAACAGCACACCTATTATTTAAACCATAACAGTTTTGTATCGAAATTATTAAGTAATCTTTTATAAAGAAATTTGTCTGATAAATGTCTTCATTATTTCTAAAATAAATATTCATTACAACATTTGAATACGATTCTAATTGAATACGGTTCTACAATTCTGCTACTCTACAAAATTGTGGACAAAGAAAATTTACGCGATACAAACGAAAGTACCTGAAGTTTCAGTTACTGGTTGCGCTGTTGTCACGGTCGGTTCAGAAACCGGTGTCACGGACGAGGACGAAACGGATACCGATACCGGAGTTGTAACTACAGGCGAGACGGTCGCAACGGGCGCGACTGCCACTGGTTGACTTAACGACTGCTTCACAATACACCTCGACATTGTACTTCCATTCACAATAGCACAAATTACATACAATAAAACCGGCAACGAATTGACAAACACAATCTGCCGCAACAAACATGAGACTGTCGACTCGTTCCAAATATGAAGTTTTGTTTATTTTTAATTTTGGCGCCACTTTTGCGGATGACGCTTGCCAACCAAGCACTTCCACATGCGGTACAGATAATATAAATGTGGATTATTTTATTTTTTTATTTATTAGTAGATATTTTAGTATGGAAACACTGACCTGGGGGTCTATAAATCTCGAGGGTAGGTTTCCCTTTTGCGTTAGTTAGAATCATACTCCGCCGTTTCCCATTCGAAAACTGCAACAAAAAAATAAAAATTCTGTCGATATAGTTATACAATATTCACCTAGATTTGTATTTTGTCACGATTTATTTTCAGCAGCTTACACTATGATGAGTCGATATGAATCCTAATTCTCGTAACATCATCGACTAATATTACTGACTGACTAAAGCTTTATATAATGTAATAAAAAATATATTTGAATGAAAAAGATTAAGTTATGACAGAGAAAAAATGTCTAAATATACACAAGCGGCGGCGATTTAATAAATATGTACCTATGTATTTTTTAGGTTATTCGTCAAAAACCTAGGTGTGTGCCTTGTTAGCGATGATGATGTAAATTGTTACCTAGCGGCAAAATTTACTAAGAGTCAATATCTACAATGCAAGACTGTACAACTATAGGTATACGCGAAAAAATAAATTGTGAAATATGTGAGTAATCATATTAATTCTATAACTCAATGTAAATTCAATAAAATCTGAACGTAGTAATCATTGTCTGTGATTTCATATATTCTTTCCATGAGGATTATTTTGCAATTAATTTCAGTTCTTTTTCACCAAGAATAACTAGCCCTGGATTTCTTTTTTTTTTCCAAACATTCGTCCATATCTTTTTTCAATGATGGAACAGGCAAAGATCCTTAGAACGTACAGCTTAGTCTACCTTTTTTCTTGGTTGGCTTGGACAAGTACCCACCATAATCATAGGAAACCCTACCCGTAACAGCATTAATAAAACTCTGTATTGAAAAGTTACGTCGTATAAACCAAACCTCTTGATCTATGAATACATTGATTTCGAAAGGGACAGTGGATCGCAGACTAGACGTGGGCGCGAGTAGAGTTGCACATTGTGATAGGTACCTACTTACACCTACGTGTAATTATAATGATATACTGTTATAGGTTATTAGAGAATATTATATTATTTTAATTAGTAATATTGCATCATTATCTCTACATGGTAATAATAACTCTTTACCGTTACATTGCCAGGATAACGGTCTTCTTTACATAGTATAAAACAAAGTCGCTTTCGGTGTCTGTTCGCTTATATCTTTTCAATTACGCAACTGATTTTATTGCAATTTTCAGCAATAGATAGAGGGATTCAAGAGGAATGTTTGTATGTATAATATGAATGACATAGTATAAGAACAAGCCGAGAAATTCAAAGTTAGCTTCTTAGAAAAGAATCTAAACACGCTTATAAACATAGTTGCGATATCGGAGCAATAGGAAAGAGTCCATTTTTTTACGATATAGACGACTTTATCATTTCCTTAAATAAAGTGGTTCCACTTGTTTGCCATTTCTATAAGAAAATATGTAATATATGTAGGTACGGTTGTATTTATAAGTGATGTATCTATGGTACCTACATGAATTACAAAACTTTTTTTTTATTCTTTAAGAAGTAATATTACTTACCTGATTATGATGCATATTGTGATGCGACTGTGGCCGTATGAAGCTACGTTCTCTCATGATGACGCCAGGTGATGCGAAGTCCTGCATCCTATAGCTCCTCTGCAGTTCGTTACCTACACCTATTTGAGTCTGCATCTTGGTTTATTTTAAATACTTTTTTAAATAAGTTTATACGTTCAAAATTTTGAATCTATCAATATTTATTTTCGGCCAGTATTTATGAATCGATATTCCTTCTTTGGTCAATAATGCACTCTGGCATATGTTATTTTTTTAATATATTATATATTTTTTGAAGAATGTCAAACTGCTTAGTTATTTAGTTCTAAGTAATCACTAAAAACTACAAGATTGAATTAACAAATAAATACACTAGATGAATGACTAGTATTAAAGTTACTTTTACACAATGTCACGCTTATATTTTTTTTGTTATATTTTATTATTTTTTAGTTCAAATATTTACAAATTTGAATACGTACAAATATAGAAAACTATCAAAAATGGGTGATAAATTTTAAAATGCGTAGTAAACAAAGCTTTATTATTAACAGTAGTAGATAACTATATGCTATTGTGACGTCACGTTAGAGATCACTCTTGACCAATTTATATATGCATATATAAATGTATGTACAATATAAGGAACCCTTCTGTCGTGGCCACTGATAGAGGGTATTTCGTGTTATAATTCGTTATTATACGACTAATTACAAGAGCAGTGCAGAATTATTTTAGTGTCCGACGGCCACCGAGCGATTTTTACAGTATTTCGAGAGGCCTAGAAGTGCACTTCTTCGGCGCCGATCTCGTTTCGTTTCGTCGAAGAGGCTTTCACAACCCTAATCTGAAACAAAAAAACAATAAATAATCGATAAGAAATTCATCCTTATATCTTAGAATCACGTATGTCACGAACAGTGCAGTTTCAGTGAAGTTTTCTCCCGCATTTAATTACATTATAAATGACGAGGTTTGCTCCAGAGACTACAGTTTTAGTTTACAATTAAATGGCTGATCAGATTCGTATCCTCACAAAATTCTATAAAATACATACCTAGTAATATTTATTTTATTACTATATATATATTAAGTACTATATATAGTAATTCTGAACAACATTTATTTAAAAGATCAACACGCAAGTTTCTTGTTGGTTGATCTTGTAATGAGTCTGCGTTCGGAATGAGTGGTAGAATAAAAAATGTGACTATTCAAAAGTGCTTATATTAAGTTTATTTGAATAAAGGTTATTTCTATTCTATTCTATTTGATGAACGTTAGCAGACGACTTCGTAGGTTAGGTATAGTTAGCCATGTAAATAGATAACAATCGCTAAATTACTCGTTCGATGTGTAAAACACTTATTCATGGACGAGTAATAACCTAGAAGCATAAATAGGTACAATTAAGTAGTAGAAACTAGTGTACATTCTGTACATCGATATGCCGAATGTTTATAACAAATATTTTGTGGCTCGCTGACTAAATACCACGGTTGCATTGAAAAAAGGAAATAATTAAATGGCGGTGCGTGAATTGAGGCGTGTTGGCCAAATTACCCGCGTTACATCGCACATACCAATGTATGTACATTGTTTGAAATATAACAGAGTTAAAAATAATACTAAACAATAATTTTATGTCAGACATAGACACACAATATATACAGTATAAATAAATTGGCTTGATTTTTAAAGTTTAGTTATGTTGCCAGTTCTTCTCAATTGAATCTGTATACTGAACTGGACAGTAGGGAAAAATAATAATACAAAAATCTTAACGTTCATAAGCGGCTGAAATGTCCTCCATGTAGAAAAGATTTTTGATTTGATTTCAATATTGAAATTTACGTAATATCTTTTTAAATTATAGCCTGTGTTATTCTGATGTATAAGCTATACTACTGTAAAGTTTCATCAAAATCCATTTATTCTTCCATTTATTTATACTCACAAACTTTCATGTTTATAATATTATTCGATTCTCGTGTCACAGCGTTTATAACAAACTCCTCCGAAACGGCTCCGATTCTTATAAAATGTGTGTGTATATTCAGTAGGTCTGAGAATAGAACTTAACTATTCTTATAGCCCTAAGGGTAGTCCACCCCAAACTAATTAATTTATATGACAAAATAACACCGTATGTATAATATTACATAAGTAATTTCAAATGATTTTGATGTAAATCTGTTGTTGTAATTAATGAAAAATTATTTAGTAAGTTAATTTGTATTTCAGGGATAATATTCATGAAACTACAGAACTCTCGTACAAGCAAGTGATTACATTGTCGACGAATACAATCCATGGCCTGGATGATCAAGCGCTTTAGCACCGCTACATCAAATTATGGCGAGTTCGATTCCTCGCTCGGTACAAACATTTGTATTTATAAGTATGACTGTTTGTATCAGTCTGGGTGTTTCTATGTTTACTCCTTATACATATGTATTTACAAAGAAAATGTATCTAAAGCATTTATATCAGCGGTCAAGTAGGTACCCATAACACAAGCTCAGCTTGTCTTGTGTCTTAAAGGTGCCGTGTGATTTGTGCAGGGTTATTATTATTAAATTAATAACATGTAGTATTTAAAATAATAATTATTATAAAGGCAAACAAAGTGACGGCTCAACCGTCACTTTGTTCACCTTTATAATTACATAAAAAAAGTAACTCAGTGTTTGAACTCCCAAAAAGTATATTAAAGTAATATTTGATAAATTAAAAACAATTACAATTGCAAAGAGGTACATAATTATACGCCACTTTCGCTATTAAACTAAGGACGGTGACGGTTGCGTAGCGGAATTTCTGACTGAAAATTTTAAATTCCTTAATCACTTTTGCTTATAAGCAAATTTATATTTTTATTATATTTTATTTATTATTTTAAGTTATGAACATAAATACTATGTAATATATCACAGTATATATATATATATGTTGATATTTACATGGACATATACTATAATATTTACTATAAACATTAAAAACATGCTAATGATATTGAAATGCCAAATGCACCAAATAAAAACTGTCTCTCTTTATTTTGGACAAGTTTTGGAGTTTAATTCTAGCCAAAGAAATAATATTATAAGAAATTGCAATTTTTGTATTTTTATTTAAGCTAATGTGGCAGAATAAACTATTTCAAAAATTGCAATTTTTATATATTGATCCTATAGCTAATGTCACTATGGGGAATAAACATGTTCAAAAATTGCAATTTTGTATTCTAGTCTTAGCTAATGTAACTCTTTGCGAAATAAGCATGTTCAAAAATTGCAATTTTTGTATTTTGTTCTTAGTTAGGTTGTATAATCAGTATTTTGTAGATTGAAAACGTGTGGATGATGTTGGGTGTGTGACTCACCGCTCTCTCGTCGTGCGCCGTCCGTCGTTTGTTCGTGCTCTGCACTCGAGACTCGTTCACTTTACTCGTATTTGTTTCACTGCAACAACGAGAAAGTTTAATAAAATATTCCCACGTTTTGTTCATGTATAAAAGATTTTATTACAATTTATTACTATTTACCAGCGACAGTCAACGTTTTTTTTTTAATGTGATTATTTTGGGGTTAGATTTAGATGTCTGTCTGACTCGATCTCTTTATTTTTTACGTAAAATAAAGAGATCGAGTAAAACGAACTGACTACCAGCATCATGGCTATCATGTTATCATGTGACGCCCATAATAACATTTTTTTTTTATTTTAACATACATTTTAGGGACTTTGGGCTAATGTCAGGTGTAGCACTGCGACTTTTCTAGATCTATTGTGCTCTCCCTTTGTCAAAGTTCGCTACCTAGGCCCGTTAGGGATAAGAATTGAAGGATATTCTTAGGATCGGTGGCTTTATCACCTAAGAATATATTGTTTACAGTGAATAGCATACATACAAAATTCCCAAAGTTATGAGCACCCATACGACAGGCGGGCTTCCTGTATTCAAAATTTTAGAAACAGTTTTCTCGCTGTATTCTTGCTTCATGTTTTTAATTATGTAAACATGTATCAAATTTAACAAGAAAGAATTGTCAGAACATTAGTGCACTGTACAATGTATGCCAGCACATGCCAGGTACGACGACCTCGATGATAACAAGTTTATAAACATACAAGAAGTACGTTGCCTATTTAAACTAAATTTAGATTTGCATTAACCGGACAGAAATTTCCCACCCAAAATAATCATCATCATTTCTTTAAATATTTTGATTTTTTTTAAATATTTAATTGCAACGTCTCTTAATCATGGGAGAAAAGCGAGACAATGATTATTGCCTTGTCTTCTATCATATTATATGGAGTCGGCGCTGTATGTCATTTTCTTCGATCATTCCCTATCTGCCGCCATATCTGAGCTTACTCTCCTTTTATGTCTTTCCCATCATATGTATTACAAAAAAAAATATTTTGGCCGTGATCCTATTGATAGTTAGAGTACTGTGGGATTATATATTATTCTTTTTATTCTGTGACACTACATCTAAGTAATCCAAAGATGCAGCGAATCCATATATAACTATTTCTGTTCAAATATCATTCATTCATTACCCATAACACAAGTTCTGTTTAGTTTGAGAGTAGATTGCGCTATGTGAACTGTCCAGGGTTATTATTATTATTGTTTTTTTACCAGATTGTTTTACCACCTCAATTCCAGCAGTGTTAAATAATATTTTATCCATTTTATTAATAATCTGGTCATGACCCTTAAGATAACCTGCGGTAAGTCACGGTTACATTAATTTTATTCGAAATCTGTAAACAACTATAATCCAGGCGTCGTACACTATTGTGAGACATCGTTACATAAGACTACGGGTGCAAATCAATGTAATATTAATAATTTATTTCTATGATTAAGTAAGTAGGTATATAAAAGATTATCAATTAGTATTTATAGTACAAGCTCAGCTTAGTGTTACCTAGATAAGCAACATCTACAATGTGATATTAATTTCTTTATAAATGTATTTGTTAAATTCTTTCATTGATCCAATTTTTTTATTAATAGCTATGGAGTCGTCCATCCATATTACTAACAATCCCTTTTCCCTCTTCTTGATCTAATTCTCTCTTCAAATTTCTCTGGTCGAAGTTTTTTCTAAACAGATGATTGCGATCCAAACTTATTATAATTTTATGGCATAAATTCTTTAATTCTTAATCGGTATCTCGCGACCAGACCAGAGCAGACCCATCCCTACTAGCAATACACACAAACGAGTGCTGCTTAGAGACTAAGCTAGGCGTAGGGATTGCTGTGATCTAATCACGATGACTGATTTACTCTTATTTATTACTTGAAAATATTTAAAAGAATTAGTGGTGGATTTAGTAGTTTATATACACACATTTCAATTCAAAAATCTAAAGTTACAACAATTATTGAAAAGAGATCTTAATGTGATGAGACAGCTTTATTAAGATTAAAAAAATAAGACTATTCAAAACTCCTTTTTTATATTTCTTTCCTTTTTTTCTAAATAACACAACAAATGTACCAGTTGAGTTGCCATTCTCAAATGAAATAGCATACAATTGGATGGTAAATGTAAAAATAAACAAAATTGTTCTATCTTAATGGTTTACTAAGTATGACTATTAAAAACTTTAAGTTTATTTAAATAAAGAATTTTTTATTAAATTCTTTAATAAAAAAAATTCAAGACAAAAATATTATCAAACGTAATTAACTTGTATATCTCCCGTGTATTCATTGTCGCATACATAATGAACCGTGGTGCAGATAGCATTCTCAAACAGCGGAATTGTAGGCGGAGCTAGGTGACATCATCGTATTTACTCGTGTGATGCCTTAGACCGACACAGAGGCGTTTACGTAATCCAAATAAATGTTATATATGGAATTTCTGTTACACGAAAAATATCCTTAGTGAGTAAATTTAAATGCCATAATGGCGTAGCATTCGATGTGAGACATATGCAGTCATCCGGCACGCCATCTGTGTACATATTCCAAAGTCTGTATACGTTCTAGGTCAGTAGGCACGAGCTTTGTTTTCCTCTGCATTGATACTTAATCTTGATTAAATTAATCGCCTTGGAGATAACTGCTGTTTTGGGTGATAAATATCTATATTTCTCGTAAACTATTATTAGGCTTTAATATATACTACTTTTATTTCTATTTTGCACAAATGCACAGTTACAGAAAAATTATATTAAAAAAAGCTAATAAAAGATATGACTGATTTAAATAATTTTTCTCATATAGTGCGTTACGATATCTGCAAAGATCATAGACTATATTTAAAAAAAATATTAAAGATTATTAATATTTTTTTACGCACTATATCAGAAAAATTATTTAAATCAATCTTTTATTAGCTTTTTTTAATATAATTTTTCAAACAACTAAGAAAAAAAATATTTTTAAAACTTTAGTTTACATAAAAATTTGTTAGCTCGTGACAATCATTTATTATTATACTGTATATGATTGTTTACGTTTCGTTAAATAGAAAATAGAAAAGTAAAACTCGCCGGGTATAATATTGAGGCGAGTATTGTATATTTGGATTTGCCATCCATTTATAGATGCGAAAGGAAGTTCCTGCATGATTCATACAAACAGTCAAAAGCGATGAACCTTGGAATATTAATTTGTATCTAGGTGCGTGTAAGTAACGTTTATATTTTAGTAAAACAGTAAAAAAATTGAAACAGTAAAAAATATATTTAACTCTAAATATGTACTTTCTTTTTTCTGACTCGGACTACTCTTTTTTGGCCGCAGCTGGCCTTTACAGCTTCACCGGACGATAGGAGGCGAGTGCAGATGGCACTCCAAGTCAAAGGAAGGAGCGGCTGAAGGCAAATCCCGACTGACAGACACGACTTTAGTCTGATGGATACTTTTTCCTAGTTTCCTCTTGTATTAAGGCTTTCAGTGTATTTCCACAGTTGAGGAACGAGGATTGCTAGTATTGGGGACTGTTGATAATATTGCCATTTTTTATTCGACTTGATTGCTATTGCTTGATCTAATGTAGGTCGACCTTACATAGTACGTGCTGTATGATGACAAGTCGACGTGCTCGTGGTCCCCTTAGAAACTGTTGCGGTTAATTTTGGGTAACTAGCCTGGTCATCCTATTATACTCCTCACTCCCATCTCCAGAGGACATCTACTCTCCTCACTCCCAGAGTCCCCCAGAGTATACCATTAGTGCATTTCATTATATTATTTCTTTATTAAAACTTTAATGCACAAATACAAAAAAATGAAGGTGCAAATGGCGGACTTAACACCATAAGGCATTTTCTCCCAGTCGACCATGTAAACAGAAATTAGTGGGCGGTGCATTATTAAGAAAATAACATGGAAATAAATACAAGTAAGTAGGTATGAATAAAGTAAATATACATATCCAAATACATACATACTTATATATAATACATAATATATAAAAACATATATACATATATTTATACACAAATACATACATACTAAAAAAAAATATCATCTATTTAAAGACATGTAATTCCTCTGTTTAGACGTAGACCAAGCATCTTTTGCGTATTGCAGAATAATACGGTCTAGAACACCGCTTTACGACCGATGGTCGCGGGTTCGATTCCTCGCACGGCACAAACATTTGTATTCATGAGTATGATTGTTTGTATCGATCTGGGTGTTTTCTATATATAATATGTATGTATTTACAAAAAAATATCTACGTATTTATCAGTTATCTAGTACCCATAACACATGCTTTAGCTAGCTTAACTTGTGTCTAGATGGCGCTGTGTGAATTGTCCTAAGATTATTATTATTATTATTAATAGTGTAATCCTGCGGCGCTGCCTGTCTGAAATACAACCCGTATTATTCCTTGATAATACAGTTTTCTAGTTACATTTTTTGAGTTTATAAATAAGACAAGAAATTAAATCATGGCTCTGTATTAATTCAGATTTTACTGAAGTAAAATTTTTATATTTCAAATTAGTTTATAGGTATATCAAATACTTAACTGTAGTCGAGTGATCCCAAGTGGAACTTTAAGGGGTAAATGTAAAATTAAGTAATCAAAATGGTAGTTAATGAAGCTCGTTGTCGCTATCTAAGTTGCAATTCCAATGCACCTAGAGTCATCGCACAAAGCACATTCCTTTGACGTGACATAGTAATATTATGTCATGATATCTATTTAGTAGTATCGCTATCAAGTAATTAAACTGGGACGAATCGAACCGAAGCAAATAACTTAATCCTGCGCATGATCATCGTCAAATAGTATTCGATGTATTGTTTATCTGTCATGTTGGAGATACATTCCGCCAGATTTCCGACGTCTGTTGCAAAACAATCATTTAATGCTAATCGCAATACATTTTGTACGCCAGAGACTGTTTCCCTGAAGATATATCTTATAGTCCACTTCTACCTCTACCTAACCTTAATTTGAAATATTTT